CTCACCAGGTCGTCGCCCGTGGCCAACACCAAGTCCAAAGAACTTGACCCATAAAGAAATGCCAAAGAACTTGACCCATAAAGAAAACCTCACAGGAACAAGAGCTAGCTTTGTTATAATGAACTCTGCCCAAATTCTCCCATGCTCTCCAGTGCAGAGATTTTATAGCAATCATTTTACCCGTCCAGAAGGAGCAAGATGATGATATAGAAAAAATGCCACTTGAAGCTCCCTCATTTTAATCAATGAACAGCTGCTGCCCCTTGACTCAAAACACAAGCCCTTACAGGAGGACAAAAGTGCTAGATCAAGGGCAAGCAAAGCTTGGCCCATGGGCTGGATTAGGCCTGCAGTGGACTCCGTTTCCCAGCAACCCCTGCCTGCATTGCTGCTGCCAGTTTCCATGGAGACCCCAGCAGCAACAGGGCTGTGACAGCTAGGGCTAGGGTTTCCATGGAGACCAGCCCTAGCAGTACTGGCAAGACACAGGGATCAGGCCTCCAGTGGGCTCCATTCCCAGCAACCCCTGCTCACATTGCTGCAGCTGGTTTCCATGGAGACACCAGCAGTGGCAGAGCTGTGACGGTGCATGGACAGGGTTTTCATGGAGACCAGCCACAGCAGCACTGGCAGGGCATGTGGCTGTGTAGCGAACTGCTCCAGGGCCAAGGCTACCATCTGTTTTTGAGTCTGGGACCCCACTGCTGGGATCTCCATGGAAACCGGCTGCAGCAACTAGGCAAGGGCTGCTGGGAAATGCAGTCCAGCCACCAGCCAGATCCACTATTTTGCCAACCTGTGCTGGATGCCGTGCATGCTCCTACAGGGAACTTGCTTTTCCTGTCTTGAAAAGTTTCAGTAAGATGGACCAATACATCTCCTCTTGTTTTTTGGCTTTTCTTCATCTCTGCAGCATCTCTTTGGGTCTTAATCTCATCTGATTATCTTGTAGCATAAAGCCCTGTGCCTGTGTAATCATGCCAAATCCTTTAGGACCCTATGCCTGCAATCTTCAGTGCAAGGAGGAGGCTGTAAACTGGCAGAAAACTCATAATAAACAGCAGCAGCAGCAGCAAGTAAAATGTGCTTCCATTCTGCAAATCCATTTTGTGGTGCAGGGGAAAAACCTGGGTTCAGTACAGTTGGTTACAGATCAAAAAATTTTCTTGTGTAAATAGAATCATAGAACCATAGAAAATGAAGGTTGAAAGGGACCTCAGGAGGTCATCTAATCCACCCCCTTGCTCCAGGGGGACCAGCCCCAACTAGATCATCCCAGCCAAGGTTTGTCCATCTGGGTCTTAAAAACTTCTAAGGATGGATGTTTGATATTTTCATCAAAACCTGAAAAACAGAAGGTTTGTTTTGTTAACAAAGAAGCCCGAACGTTGATGATATTTAATTAAAAAACAACAGTGTTGAGGTTGGGGGGATGTGGTATGAAATAGAAATTGTTTCCTCACTAGCTCTAAGGTGCTATGCTGTCTGTTTCTCAGGCAATATATGCAATTGCACCATACAAACAAAACAAATGAATCCCTCTACATATTTCCTCCACTTCCCAAAAACAATTGCCAGGGAACCAGGGAGCATAGCATTTGCAGAGCCTCTCTCTCTCTCTCTCTCTCATTCTCTCAAAAGGATACTTACTGACATTAGAAGTTAAAATAGTTAAAGCAGCATCTGTCCAGTGACCATAAGGTAGGTCAGTAGCCTGGACCTGAGATCTTTGTCAAGTCACTTTGTGTCCATTTGTCACCTGTAAAATGGGGATAAGAGCCCTCCCCTTAAGCAGTAGAACATTGCTATTGGAATTTGATTGACTATATCAGTAATTCAGCTAAAATCCCTTTATCAAATCCCAAGGCAAGGAGCAGTTGTGCAGTTACTTTACGCTATCAGGCCTCTAATTGGAAACCTCCGTGGGTGGCTTAGGAGCCACCTGACTGAAAGTGTGTAGAATGAACTGAACTAATGTAGCTGATGTTAACAAAGAGTGTAATAGTAGTGAACTGGAACCATGTTAGTCTTGTCCTGTAGGTAATTTGAAAATTCCATTGTGTATTCTTTGCTTGACATAAGTGAATAAACTCTGCATGCCCTTTATGTGTGAGTGTAAGTGAAAGGGTGAATGGTGACAGAATGGCACAGAGACAGGAAAAGAAGATTTAACTATGTGTTGTAAGCAACAAGGCACCAAATATGTAAGTTACCAGTCAGTAAACTAATAGATGGCTGAAGAATCCCTTTGAGGCCTAGGGCACAAAGGAGATAACAAGGAGGAGGAATGCACATATCCTGCCAGATGGGCAACAAGGACACTCCAAAGCTGAGATACCTGGAGTTTTGTTACAGCCAAGCAGCTTGTATTTTGCTTTGCGGTTTGCACCAGTGGTCTGGTTTTGGACTAGCAGGGAAGGTAGGAGATCCCAGTAGTGTCTGAGGGGCATGTGATTGCTTTGAGCCCTGCCAGGGGCTGAGACGAGCAACCAGAACACGAGCCCAGGACTTGTCATCCAGTTCAGTCCACCTTGGCTTCTGTGCTGGCTTCCCTGCCTG